TCTCACTATTCTGGGTCCTGTAGGGGACAGGCCTGAGGGGGAGGCTCCGGATCACTGTGGCTCTCTAGGGGCGGCTAGAAGGGGGGGTGCTCAGGTATATTCCCAACATGCAGTGCTCCCACGCCTCTCTTCTCTCTGCCAAGAGGAAGGGAAAGGAGGAGGGGAGATTCCTTCTGATCTACAGCTGCCAACTCGTGAGACTCCTGGAGCCAGAGCTCAGGGTGGCAGGAACCCAGGGGGCACGAAGCCCCGCTTGGAATTCAAGCGCCTCCAGAGTAACCCAGGCCGGGAGCCAGCTAGACACCAATCCCTCCACCTGTGGAGAAGGGGCACCTCGTTGCCTGGCTGGGCCTGCAGGGAGTTTCCCTGGTGACTGGACCCCAGTGAAGTGGCCCATCACCAAAGACGCTGTACCTGGGGACCGTGAGGCCCGAGGGGCAGGGGGAGTCCCTTCCTCGTGACTGATGTCTGGGTGAGACCAGCAGGCTCTCATGTCGTCCTGCCCGCTCCTTAAGGACAGGGGCCTGATGGTTCTGGTTCATGTCAGGAGGGCAGCAGAGCCCCCTACCAGCCTCCCCGAGCCTCGGTTTCCCCGTCTCTGGAATGGGCGTGTGTCCAGAGTGCCACTTCGCCCGGGCAGGGCGGCCTCTGGTTATGAAAGTGCCTGCAGACGAGACCAAAACCAAAAACCAAACCCGTTGCCCTCGAGTTGATTCTGACTCATAGCGACTCCATAGGACAGGGTAGAACTGCCCCATAGGGTTTCCAGGGAGTAACTGGTGTATTCGAACTGCTGACATTTTGGTTAGCAGCTGAGCTCTTACCCGCTGTGCCAGCAGGGCTCTGAAGAGGTCTGGAAATAAAGGTTTTCTCCCTCTGTCTGGCTGAGGAGGGAGGGAATTGGTTAAAGTTTCGAGACGTTTCTTGCTCTGTTGGCCAGCTAGTCCTGGGGACCTCAGGATGTCCCTGTGCGGCCTGGGCGTGGCTTGTGAGCTCTGCCGGGGCTCTGCTGGTCCTTATAGACCTGTCTCCTGGGGAGGAGCTCTGGGGTGACTGCCCCCCGCCAACACACTCACAGCTGCCTCTGTCTCTCCTTCCTCTTCGTCCAGGAGCGGCAGGTGTGGGTGATGGTGTCTCCCCTGAGTGTCGGCCACGCTCCCTCGCCTGCACCAGCCACCCCCTGGTGGCGCCATCTGTGGCCATCTGTTCCGAAAACTTCACAGACAAATCTCAGAGCCTGGGCGGGGCTGCCGGGGGAGGGTGAGCACCCAGAGCAGCAGCTCTGAAGAGGGTCCTCGGTGCTGGTAGGTGCTGGTAGAGCGAGAGCTGGCAGTTGGGGGAAACGAAGCAGAGCCAGAACGTTTTTCGTTGTGACCTGGCTTTGGAATTTATCTGCTCCCTGACCTGCCGGCCTTGGCCCCGTGTATCCCGGTCACTGCTGGCTGGAAGGGCTGCAGGTGGGTCCATTGTGGCCAGGTCGGCATGTGCCCTGTCCCCAGGGTTTCCACAGTGTTTTGAGATGCCTGGTTACAGCTGCCCTCACGGAGCAGGGCTGAGAGGGCCTGGTCACCTGGGGTCTTTTTCTTTTTTAAGTGGAGGGTTGTTTTGTACAGTGTGAGGGCTCGCCCTCCTGCACAGCCCTGGAGTTCAGTGTTTGAGCTGGGGGCTGCCCCTGCCTCCTCCTCTGCACCCCCACCCCAGGCATCTGGCCTCATTTCTCACCTCCCCTGCCTTTTGGGCAGACTGGGCAGACTCGACCTCTGCCAGCTTCCAGAACTTGCCTTCCCCCTGCCTGGAACACTCCTCTCCTCCCCCTGTCTGAGCGGGCCAACCCCCCTTCACTCTGCAGGACCCATCCTGGTGGACACCTCCTCAGGGAGGCTCCCGCGGTGCCCTGGTTTCCCACAGCCATCACACTGTGCCTGTTGGTTCTGGTTCCCTACTGCAGTGGGCGACGTTCGCCCTCTCACCTCGCTGCTGATGGCCACTGTCCCTCCCTCCTGGCATCTCTCCCACGCCCAGGGCCTGGCCTGGGACTGAATACTTTCCCTGTCCCTGCCCGGGCTCGCCCACCCGCTCCGCAGAGCATGCCCATCCCTGTGACTGAGTCAGGAGAAAACACAACCCAGCAGACAGAAGAATTGGGATCTGAGGTACACGAGACAGCTGCGCGTTATTTTCCCAGGGCTCAGCTAATTGAATAAGTTGGTTAATGAGCAAAGGAAATTAATTGCGGTTTTGAAATGGAGTCTGTCTGCGCGTGTGCTGTCTGCCAGCATGGAGGGGCTGTTATCCACCATAAGCGCCTGGGGGCTCACTGGGGATGCACCTCAAGACGGCATCCAGGAGGTGCTGTGGTGCCCAACACTGAGCCCAGCGTGATGCTCCCACGATGCCTCCGAGCTGGAAGTAGTCGCACTCTGGGTGCTGCCTCGAGGCCTCTTTGGGGGACTGTGGGGGCTGCCTAGGGCGGGACCACCTGGCATGGGGTGGACCTAGAGCAGGGTTATGGGGGTGGAGCTGGGACAATGGGGGTGGAGCTGGGGCGATGGGGGCATCAGGGCAGAGCGGGGATGACGGGGCAGAGCTGCGGAGATGGAGCGGAGCTGGGGCAAGGTGATGGGGGCATTGGGGCGGAGCTGGGGTGATGGGTGGGGAGGCGTCAGGGTGGTGATGACACAGGGGTGGTGATGACACAGGGCGGGCACAGTGTGTGGCCAGGCGCTTCCCTTCGGGGGTCCTTTTCCTGTCCCTCTGCCCCCCAGCTTCCATACACCTCACAAAGCTCTGGATGACCTTCCTCAGCTTTCGAGAACCTGCTTTCTGACTGCGTCCATTTGGGCCTTAGCCTGGCTGCCACGGTAGCGTTTCCCTCAGCAGGCAGTGGCTGGGGGCTAGTAGACCCTTCCTGCTGTGGGTCCAAGGGCTGAGGGGAAGGGGGCCCAAGGGAGGCTGCCCTGCCTGGGGGTGCAGGCCTGTGATGGGGAGCTAGGAAGTACCCAGCATGCACCCTTGGTTTCTCTCTGCGATGGTGCCAGGGCATTGATCAGGCTGTTCCCTGCTGGAACAGCTGAATCAGTGTGTCTACCGCCGTGCTCGGCCTGGGCAGCCTGCATCCCTCCCAGCACCAGCCCAGGCTCAGGTCTCTGTCCTCTCCCAGCCCCAGTGACCTGGGCCAGGATAGAGTATTCTCATCACCCCCGCCCGGCCTGGAGGGGGACATCCCAGAGAAAGGCTTAGGGGGTCAGGAAGCCAGTCGGGATGGAACTGACCCCTGGTGTCCACAGGTCACAAAGCGGCTCCTATGAAGCGGCTCCCCTGGGTGACAGTTTGAGCATTGATGAGAATAACACTAGTGGCCTAAGTGGCCGTGACTTCTTAATGATCCCACCAAGAAAGAACAACCTAATCGGGCTCGTTCGGAAGATCCCAGGGAACCAATCCAAGCTTGGAAACTGACACAGAGAGAAAGAAAAAGGAACAAGTGTTTACTGTGTCTCCTGGATGAACTGTACCTCGGCGTGACCGAACAGCTGGTGTTCTCTTTCCAGAAGTTCCTCTTTATAAAGGTTTTCCACCTGAGCCATGAAGGAGGGGCCACAGGATAACTCCATTCTGCAGCCCCAAAGGCCTTACGGATCCAGACTTGAAGAGCAACACCTGAGCCTCCTGCCCAAATAGCCTGAATCCATGGTCCTCCAGCTCCAGCTCCAACGCACAGGAGTACGGGGCCAGAGGAACACGGGGCTGGCACCAGGACTGCAGCCAGCGAGCCCGTGGGGACGGGTTCCTTCAGCGAATGCAGGGCAGCGGGGAAGGAGGAGGAGAGGAACCAGCAGACTGTGGGAGAGTTGGGGACACATCCACCATGTGACATGTGGCCTTGGTCTGGATGCTGATCTCAGGGCAGAAGCACATGCCGACCTGTGTGTGACTTTGAGTCTGGTGTATGGTGTTGCTAAGGAGTGGTGGTTGATGTTGTTAAAGGCGATGGTGTTGCCATTCTGGTCTACGAAGCCCTCACATTGTAGTGTCCCTGGGTGGTGCAAACGGCTGACGGGCTTGGCTGGTAACCGACTGGTTGGTGGTTTGAATCCACCTAGAGACGCCGTGGAAAAAAGGCCTGACAGTCTCCAGGAGATCAGCAGCTGAACCCCTGCGGAGCACAGTTCTGCTCTGACGCACACGGGTCGTCATGAGGTGGAGCTGACTTGACGAGCTGGTTGGGTTTTTTGGTTTTCACGTTTTAGAAATGCACACAGGAATATGTACTGACTCGGTGCTGTGTCATTGGGGTTTGCTTCAAAATTGCCCAGTGGGCACGTGGGTGGGACACGGGAGGGTGACACGGGGCTCCTCATACTGCTCTTTTTCCACCATGAAATGCTTTCCTCTGTGGCCTCATTGGCACCAACTCCCCGGCACTCGCAGGCGGGGGTCCTTCTGGGGAGGGGCTCCTCTCGGAGGTCGGGGGCGGGGGGTGGGGCAGGGCCCAGGCAGGGGACATCGCTGTGGACCAAGGCTAGAATAGGGTGGTGGCTTTGGAAGTGGAAAGGAAGGGAGGATTCCAGATGGAGGGAATTCACCCCCAAGGGACAAGCGGCCTGGGGCCGCTCCTGGGTGTGAACCTGGGGTGGCTGGCCTCAGAGCCTGGAGCAAGGTCAGCAGCTTCCCCGAATGACTTTGAAGAAACGGCCCGAGCAGAGAACGTGAAGGCGCAGCCTCTCTCTTGAGGGGAGCAGGGACTCCTGCGGGCTCCGGGTCTTCTGAGTCCTGTGTCTGGACAGGAGGCAGCGTTGTCGTCACCATGGATGTGCAGCTCCCGCCTCCCGTCGGCTGCGACGAAGCACACTGCCCTTCCCACGGTGGTGCTCTTCCCACGGTGGTTCTCGGCAGGGGTGGGAGGTGGGGTCAGCTTCCTGCAGACACAGTCACAGTGGCCCCTGTGAGGTCCAGTGCCAGGCGGCCTGGCTGACCCCGCCCCCGTGCCTCCCGCCCAGGTTTCTGCTGGTCTTCTCCTGCCTCGTGTTGTCTGTGTTCTCCACCATCAAAGAGTACGAGAAGAGCTCCGAGGGCGCCCTCTACATCCTGGTGAGCACTGCGCGGGGCGGGCGGGCGGCGGGGCAGGTGGCAGCAGGGCCGGCGACAGGATGGGGGCCTCGACAGGGTAGGGGCTTCAGGGGGCAAAGGTGCCACTGGAGCCTGGTGGATGTCGGTGTGGCCCTGTGGCTTCTGATGCTGGCGGTCTGCTCTGACCCCAGCCCCATCTCCCTGCATGGGCCTGGCCTATGGGTCCAGGGAGAGCACCTAGGACAGGGATCCCCCTCCTTGTTCCCTGGCCCTGCTGTGGGATGATCTCTGACTGTGGTGGTCACAGCAAGCACCCTCGTCCCTGACATGGGTGACGTCGCTGTGTCCTTCAACCCCTACACCTGCCCTTCCCTCCCCACGCCCAACCCCAGGTCATCCCCACCCCGATAGGCTGTGTGGGATTCAGCCCTCACCTTGCCCCTCCTCCACAGTGCCTTGGGGTCCTCATATAGCCCCCCACCACAGCCCCCCACCACAGGGGGCTGCCCAGCTCCTCCTCCTCCACCTCCCCTCACCCTCCCACCTTCCCCCACCCTCTTGAGAGCCTGAGTGCCCAGGTGGCCCCCATCAGAGGTTTGGGGTGTGTCCAGCAAGTGTGGTTCCCTGCGGAAGCTGGGGTGGCCTGACAGGGCTGCCCAGTGACAGGTGGGCCAGCTTGCCTTGCAGCCTCTTTGGGGCACACTTGGGTCTGACGCTTTGCCGTCGCAGGGGGCACCTCCTGCATCTGGGGCGCCCAGCCCCAGCCCTTCCCCGAAGCCTGGCCCTCAGTACGACCTCCCTGCAGGAAATCGTCACCATCGTGGTGTTCGGCGTGGAGTACTTTGTGCGGATCTGGGCCGCCGGCTGCTGCTGCCGGTACCGCGGCTGGCGCGGGAGACTCAAGTTCGCCCGGAAGCCCTTCTGTGTGATTGGTGAGAGACTTGGTGGGCGTCAGGGTCAGGGGCCACTGACACGGGGGCACAGGGACTGATGCCCCTTCCCTCAAGGAGCTGGGGCACCCGGGAGGCTGGGGTGGGCACAGGGCGCGATCACTCCTGGGGGGTCTTCTCAGAGTGGGGCTGACAGGGCACCGAGCAGCCTGTCCTGGGACCGCGGCGGGGCGCTGGCAGTGCGGAGGACAGCGGTGGCCCTAACCTCACGTGCCTTGGTGAACCAGCCAACTCCCTGCCCACGAGCCCCGCCCCCATCTCCTGCAGACATCATGGTGCTCATCGCTTCCATTGCGGTGCTGGCCGCCGGCTCCCAGGGCAACGTCTTCGCCACGTCCGCGCTCCGGAGCCTGCGTTTCCTGCAGATTCTGCGGATGATCCGCATGGATCGCAGAGGGGGCACCTGGAAGCTGCTGGGGTCCGTGGTCTACGCCCACAGCAAGGTGAGCCGGCGCGGACTGGCTGACACCCCAGGCCGGCCGTCCTGGTGGCCTGCTCTCAGCTGCCCCCAGGGCTGGGGCTGCGGTGCCCCAATTTTGGGACGTGGCTGAGGGTCTGAGGGTTTGCTCCGAAGGTCTTGGTGGGTGGATGAAGGGCCCTGGGGGCTCTGGCCTCACCAAGCCTGGAAGCTGGTCAGATCTGAGAGGCCCTCCTTGCCTGCTCCTTGTACTTGTCCTGACCTGCCTGTCCCCTGACCTGCCTGTCCCCTGACCCTTCTGCAGATGGCATTTTCCTGAGAGGACTGGCCTCCCCCCTACCCCCCAGCCGGCTTGTTGGGTTTGGTGTCTCATTTCCAGGGTCTTTAGTGCAGAATGAATACTCCCGCCCGGGGCACTCACCCGAGCCACTGTTTAAGCTGGGGTCTGTGGTGGCTGCAGGGTGGGACGTCCTGGTCATGGGCCTGCCCAGGTTGCCCTCTGTCCCTGGCCCGCAAGTGGCTGAGACCCTTCCCTACTGTGCTGAAACCACCCTGCTCGAACAGCTCTCTCGCCCTCCCCTCCCCGTCTGAACTCCTGGGGGAGGGGCCGGATGTGGCCAGGTGTCCGTCTGTGGGGCTGACCCCCTCCAGGTAGATGCAGTGGGCCTTGGGGGTTGGTGGGTGGGCAGGTGGGCTGCCCCTGCCTTGCACAGCTGTCTCCCTGGGCCCCAGGGCACGGGGAGGGTATCTCAGCTCTGACAGCACCTGACAGCTGCCATTTTTTTGGCTCTAAGTTTCGGAGCTGAGGGGTCAGTGGTGGCTGGGCTGTGAAAGCAGCAGCTCCTTCCAGCTCTGAGCCCCGGTGACCCCAGGACATAGGCCGTGGGGGGCACTCTCAGCAGCCCCCGGAGGCCCGAGCCCAAGGGCGACCTCCCTCCTGGGGCTGGCATGGCCTCTGGTGGCTGGAGGCCTGCAGGAAGTGGTGGCTTGACCAGGATGACACGGTCGGTCTGTCTTGAAGGAGCTGGTCACTGCCTGGTACATCGGCTTCCTCTGCCTCATTCTGGCCTCCTTCCTGGTGTACTTGGCGGAGAAAGGCGAGAATGATCACTTTGACACTTACGCAGATGCGCTCTGGTGGGGCCTGGTGAGTCGGGGCCACGTCACTGAGGATGTGCTCATCTTTGTGGGCGCTGGGTTCTCCCTCCCTGCACCCTCCCCATGCCCTCCCCCACACTCCCTGAGGATGCACCCCATCCCCTGCTCCCTGGAACCTGGCAGAGCTGGAGGGGCCGTCCCTCTGGGGCCATCTGTTGGTCGCTGTGACCATGGAGGCTGTGGAGGTGGTTGCATCCGAGAGGCAGGCTGGGCCGCCCCCTTCTCGGGCCCTGTGGGCTACGCCCTCTTCTTTTCCTTGATTCAGTAGAGCAGCTTTTGGAAGGAGTGGGGACAACGCACAAGCCCGTGTTTTTGAAATATGTTTGGTTTATATGAACGCTCTCACGTGCCTGCCCTGGGGTAGGGGGCAGCTCTCCCTTGATCACCCAGGAGGGCCCTGCCCCATCTATTTCTAACGTGGCTGCTCCAGAAGATTCTAAACACAGACCACCAGCTCCCCACAGGGCCTCCCATCACCCCCAGAACATTCGACACTCTGGTCAGGCCTCCCTCCCTCCCCCACTGCCTGCCAGCCCCTTGGTACCTCCGGTCACCTGATCCAGCGTGGTCCCTGCACCCCTGTACCTCTGTGGAACATGCTCCCCTGGTCACCATCTGCCCCCTCTGACCTTGGCTCACAGGTCACCTCACTAGGCCTCCCACCAGCCCACTGTCCCAGGGTCTGTCCTCACCTGCCCCACTTGGCACTTTCACCCCTCAAGGCCCTGGGCCTGGCTGGGTTTACCTGCATACAGACAGACGCCTCCCTGCAGCCCCTGAGCCCTGTGCAGGAGTGCTGCGGGCTGGGGGGGTCTCCTTGTTCCTGTGCCGGGCTGTGGGGGCTGTGGGGGCTGTGGGACTGGGTTTGTGCTTTTGGCCCTCTCGGGGTGAAAGGGGACAGAGGTTTTGTAATCACCCCCCTGCCCATGCTGGGGAAGAGCAGACTTGGGGAGGCTGTAGGTGATTGTTGTAGCTGATGCTGGCCTCAGGGGGACCCCGGGTTGGGGGGTGGCCTCTTGTCCGTCCTGTCCCCAGGCAGCCCTGCCCTTGCCGGCCTGCCCCTGGGGTATAGAGGGCAGTGGTGCCTGGGAGGTGCCCCTGTGGCGTCACCTCAGGGTGGCCGTGTGGGTGCGGCCCAGTGACTGCACCCCACTGTCCTCAGATCACCCTGACGACCATTGGCTACGGGGACAAGTACCCCCAGACCTGGAACGGGAGACTCCTGGCGGCCACGTTCACCCTCATTGGCGTCTCCTTCTTCGCTCTGCCTGCAGTGAGCCCCCCTCGCACCTGGGCAGGGCTGTGGGTTGGGTGAGGTGGTCCCCACGGGCTCTACCAGGCTCCCCGCTGACCACAGGCTCCGCTGGGCACCAGCGCCTCAGAGGGACAGGAGACACTGCCCACAGGACTGCAGCTTAGGGTGCAGGGGTGCACCATGGCAGCGGGGGCAGCTGCCCTGAGGAATTGGGGGGTCTGTGGGTCCCTGGGATGCAGTTGTGACCCTGATGAATTGGGGTTCTATGGTTCCCCAGGATGCAGTTGTGACCCTGATGAATTTGGGGGCCGTGGGTCCCCAGGATGCAGTTGTGACCCTGATGAATTGGGGTTCTATGGTTCCCCAGGATGCAGTTGTGACCCTGATGAATTTGGGGGCCGTGGGTCCCCAGGATGCAGTTGTGACCCTGATGAATTGGGGTTCTGTGGTTCCCCAGGATGCAGTTGTGACGCTGATGAATTTGGGGGCTGTGGGTCCCCAGGATGCAGTTGTGACCCTGATGAATTGGGGGTCTGTGGGTTCCCAGGATGCAGTTGTGACCCTGATGAATTTGGAGGTGTGGGTCCCGTGACACTGTCTGACCCCAGTGACTTGCAGGGCATTTTGGGGTCTGGCTTTGCCCTGAAAGTTCAAGAGCAGCACCGGCAGAAGCACTTCGAGAAGCGGAGGAACCCTGCAGCCGGCCTGATCCAGGTGAGTCCAGAGAGGCCAGGCTTGATCCCCGCACCTGGGTGCCCGGAGCTGCTCGGGGCTGGGCTGAGGCAGTCAGCTACAGGCGTCGCTCCCGTCTGTGGGGGTCCCAGGTCTGTGACCCCTGCCACACTGCAGGGCTAGGTCAGCGTGACGACGGCATCTAGGGCGTCGAGATCTTCAGGAGAAAGAGATGGCAGACACCACGGCAGTGCTTGGGGGTGGCCATCACCGTGTAGGGCAGCTCGGGGCCACGGAGGCTGCCCCTCGAACATCCCGGGGAGGAGGGGGCCTCATCACTCCCATCACAAGGACACGGAGCCTGCCCCGTGAGCAAGTAGTGCCAAAACCAGATTCAAGCCACATCATCTGACCTGCACGTGAGCCGTGGACCCCGCACCACCCACCCCTGAGCTCACCTGAGCCGTGGACCCCACACCACCCACCCCAGAGCTCACTTGAGCTGTGGACCCTGCACCACCCGCCCCCGAGCTCATCTGAGCAGTGGACCCTGCCCCACTCGCCCCGAAGCTCACCCACTTGTCCAGCCGCTCAGCAAGCACCTTGGAATCCAGAAGGCGCTCCCTGAGCCTGAGAGTCACCAGGCGTGGTGCCCCAAATGGTGCACCAAAATGCAGGGGGAACCCTGAAACCCTGAGCCAGAAGAACAGGGCTGCGGAGGGGAGCTGCTGAGGGGCCAGACACTCCTGCAGGCCCTCCTCAGGGTCCACTGACCTGGCAGACCTTCAGAGTGACCAGAATCTCCTACTGCCAGTTTCACGAAGACCTGGCCACGCACAGCCTTAACGATAACCCTCCTGTGGTCTTGGCCCTGGCCACGCACA